AAAAAAAAAAAAAAAGAATTTACTTCCTGATTGCCTACTCTACACCATGTGGCCAGCTAGATGGCAAAGACGAGAAGGAGGTTAAAGCTGATCACTCTCCAGGTGGGATAAGGAGAGGTGTGCAAATACAAAATGAGCAGATTTCAAGGTAATCTTGAAACAGGCAGGATAATGAGGGTCTGAGCAGAACAGCCAGCTAAGAGTGGTGGGAATGCAAGGAGGTGAATGACACAGACAAGTCTGGGCTTCATCCATCCATTCAACAATTACCTGTTGATAACCTACCAATATGCTGGCCACTATGCAGATACTGGGTGATTTTCAAGGGTGGCACAGGAGGTGGGCAGATGGCTGAAGAAACAATTGCAGATAGTGAGATAAATGATATGGAACACACAAAAGAGACATCTCTGTCAGATCTATGGTCTAGGGAAGCTTCCAGGAAAAAAGTGCTAGCTAAGCTGAGCCTGAAGCTATAGGGCACAGGAAGAAGCATATAGAAAGGCATTAAGATAGAAAAGGCATGAAGCCTTGTGTAAATAGTTCAGCATGGCTGGAAGGCAGGCATGAGAACAGAAAGGAAAAAGAACACTCACACAGTAACTTGAACAGGATGTAGCATAGTTTTCATGCTAAATCATGAAAAAAATCATCAGCATGCCATCCTTAGGTTTTTAAACATATACCTACAATTTTGATTATTCAAAAGTAGGAATGATGTATTCTTGGATATCTTTGCTATATAGATGATAGTTAAACCATCCAGGCTTGTGTGAGTACACTGGAGGATAGTCACACAATGATCAAATCATCTGTGATGCATTTCTCAAAACATATTCCCATTGTTGAATTATACATGATTGTGTAATAATTACTATAGCTTTAAATCCAACAAATAGATTTAAATCGATGAGTTCACTGAGATATCAAAAAACAAAAAGAACTTGTCATCTTCACAGGATATGATGGGACCATTTCATTATTTTGAAAACTAGCTAAGTAGGCTCGGCGCCTGTGGCTTAAGCGGCTAAGGCGCCAGCCACATACA